CACAACACAAAGAGTGACACAGTGTAAACTGGACTTTAGGTAATAATAATTCATCAATATTGGTTCATCCATTTTAACAAATGTACACATCAGTGTAAGATGTTAATAATAGGGGCAGTTACATGAAGGGAGGGAATATATAGGAACTCTCTACTTCCTGTTAAATTTTTCTGTGAACCTAAAACTACTCTAGGTCTATTAATAATAAAAACAGCCACATGAGGAAATAATATTGAAAATCAAGAGAAGTAACAACCAATATAAACAAACTCTCCCATAGGGGACTCAGGTAATAGTTACCAGATACAGACTTTAAAGTTATCATGTTGTATATGCTCAGAAATGAATGTTTGAGAATGGCACCAGAAAACTGGAAACCATTTAAAAAATGGCAAGTTTAGAACTGGAAAACACAAAACTGAATTATGAACTCTGTGACTAGATTTAACAGCAGATATTCTCTTCCTTCTCAAGATACAAGCAGAAATCAATGAAACGAGAATATACAATAGAGAAAAACCTGCCAAGAGCTAACTGATCTAAAAAGATTGGTAAAATTGATTCTCCCCAAACTCCCCATTAAGTAGGTAAGTAGGTAAGTAGATAAACACAGATGAACAATATAATGAATGAAAAAAGGAGACATCACTATACATCTTAGAGATACTACAACAAAAAGGATATAAAAAACAACTATGCTAATTAATTATACAATTTAGATAAAATGAACAAATTCCTTGAACATCAGAACAAAATTAAAACATGAAGAATTAGGAAATCTAAATAGCCTTGTATCTATCAAAGAAATGGAATCCTTAATTTAAAACCTTCCACAGAGAAAATTCAGTATTTGTATATATTGTGAAATGATTACCACAATGGGTCTAGTTAACATCCATCAGCAACCATACAGTTACAGAATTTTTTTCTTGTAATAAGAACTTTTAAGATCTCTCTTAGCAACTTTCAGGTGTGCAATGCAGTATTATTAACTATCATCAGCATACTGTACATTACATCCACAAGATTTATTTATTTTATAACTGGAAGTTTGTACCTTTTGACCTCCTTTACCCATTTTGCTCATCCCCCATCCCCTACCTCTGGCAACCACCAGTTTGTTCTCAGTATCTTCGAGCTCATTTTGTTTGTTTGTTTGTTTTAAAGATTTCACATATAAGTGAGGCTATATGGTATTTTTTCTTCCTTTGTCTGGCTTGTTTCACTTAGCATAATACCCTGAAGTTCCATCCAAGTCGCAAATGGCAAGATTTCCTTCCTTTTTATGGCTGAATCATATTCCTGTGTATGTATATTACATTTTCTTTATCCATTTATCCATTGGTGGACATTTAGGTTGCTTCCATGTCTTAGCTGTCATAAATAATGCTGCAGTGAACATGAGGGTGCATATACCTTTCCAAGTTAGTGTTTTCTGTTTTTTTTGGATAAATACCCAGAAGTGGAAGTGCTGGTAGTTCTATTTTTAATATTTTGAACTTCCATACCACTTTCCATTGTGGCTGCATCAATTTACATTCCCACCAGCAGTGCACAATGGTTCCCTTTTCTCCACATTCTCAC